TTCGTCCTTGTCGTACCGTTCGTCGTGTTCCTCGTCAGCGTCAGCCGGCTGTCCCCGGCACACGCCTTGTAGCCCTGCGTCGGTCCTCTCCTCCGGAGCGTACTCCTCTTCCGTCTCCTCCTGCGTCCTCTTTGCCTGACGTCGCGGATCCTGAGTCTGACCGGTTTCGTGCTGCGCACCCTACTGTCACGCGTCTGCTAGCCACTGTTGTCACTGACCCGTCGTTTGAGTCTACTGCTGCGTCTGCCCTGGTCGCTGAGCTTGTTGACTTTGCTGCTGCCTGTCGTCTAGACTTCGCTGCCAGTCTTGTTGCTGAGTCTGAGTCTGTCTGTCCTCCGTCCGTCGGGGGTGAGTGTGCTCTTAGCACGGACGTCCTTGAGGACAGGCAGGAGGACCTTGAGTGTCTTGCGGCTGCTGCGCCTCATCTCGTGGCCATGTTGCTTGCCCCTGAGGGAGACCCGGATGCACCAGACATCCCGACCCCGCGCTCTTACGCTGAGGCGATCGCGGGTGAGTACTCCTTTCAGTGGCAGACAGCCATGGACGCAGAGATGGCATCCTGGAAGTCCACAGGCACTTACGTCGATGAGGTTCCCCCTCCTGGGGCGAACATCGTCGATGGCATGTGGATTTTCAGGGTGAAGCGGCCACCGGGTTCTCCGCCTGTCTTCAAGGCTCGTTACGTTGCTAGAGGCTTCAGTCAGCGAGAGGGAGTTGACTTCTTCCAGACCTTCTCCCCCACCCCGAAGATGACCACTCTTCGGGTGCTGCTGCACGTTGCCGCTCAGTGTGACTACGAGCTTCACTCTCTTGACTTCAGCACAGCCTTCTTACAGGGCAGCCTGCACGAGGAGATCTGGCTGCGCCGCCCACCTGGCTTCACTGGGTCGTTCCCTCCTGGTACCCAGTGGAGCCTCCGGCGGCCAGTCTACGGTCTCCGCCAGGCGCCTAGTGAGTGGCACGACACACTGAGGACTACACTTGCGGCTCTTCGGTTCGCTCTTTCGACTGCTGACCCGTCGCTGTTTCTGCGCACCGACACTTCGCTGCCGCCTTTCTACATCCTCGTGTACGTCGACGACTTGGTCTTTGCCACTTCTGACACTGAGGCTCTCGCTCAGGTGAAGTCGGAGCTGCAGAAGAGACACGCGTGCACAGACCTGGGTGAGCTGCGCAGCTACCTTGGCTTGCAGATCACCCGGGACAGAGCACGCCGCACCATCACCCTGACTCAGTCACACATGGTGCAGCAGGTCCTTCAGCGCTTCGGCTTCTCCTGGTCCTCCCCACAGCACACTCCTCTGGCTACAGGTCACTCGCTCTCAGCTCCACCTTCGGACGAGTCCGTAGAGCCGAGTGGTCCTTACCCAGAGCTAGTTGGCTGCCTCATGTACCTGATGACCTGTACTCGACCTGACCTCGCATACCCTCTTGGTCTTTTGGCTCGTTACGTGGCTCCTGGCAGGCACCGAAAGGTGCACATGGATGCTGCCAAGAGGGTGTTGCGCTACCTGTGCAGTACGTCAGGCATGGGGCTCGTGCTTGGAGGACGGAGTGAGGTGGTCCTCACTGGGCACTCAGACGCGTCTTGGGTTGACGACCAGACTACACAGCGGTCGTCACAGGGTTACACCTTCAGCCTTGGCTCTAGCTCTGTTTCTTGGCGGTCTACACGCTCGTCTTCTGTTCTCAGCTCCAGTTGTGAAGCTGAGATCTACGCCACCGCCATGGCTGCACAGGAGCTACGCTGGCTCACCTACCTGCTGACTGACTTGGGTGAGCGGCCTCGTTCTCATCCAGTTCTTTATGTTGACAACAAGGCGGCCATTGCCTTGTGTGAGGAGCACAGATTGGAGCACAGAACGAAGCACATCGCTCTGCGTTACTTCCTGGCTCGAGAGTTGCAGCAGCGAGGCCAGCTTCGTCTTCGCCACGTGGCCACTCGGGCCAACACTGCTGATATATTCACCAAGGCGCTTCCGTCTGGTGATCATCAGCGCTTTTGTACCCTGTTAGGCCTTGTGCCTACGTTTCCACACTTGCTGTAGACTTTGCTTGTACTGTGATCTATATATATACCTGCGTGCTGGCTTATGTTAGGTAGCCATCATTGTACTGTTATTGCTGCATATATATCTCTGCATGTGAACTGGCCTTGTGGCCCTTTGCTTGTGCTCAGAGTGTGTGGTGACGTTGTGATCCACCCTGAGCTTGCTTTGCTTCTCTTGACTGGTCTTGTGACCCTTTGCTCTCCCCCACTTTGCCTATGGGGGTGTGTCAAACATATATGCTGCATATTGTCTAGGCTGTAGTGGGGTAGCCCATATGGGGTACAACCCAATTAGGGTTTACTACTTGTACTCCTGCATGCTGCTAGTTCATCCATTCCTGTCACTAGTTTCTAACAGTAACAATTGGTATTCAGAGTCTACGATCTCTTCTCGTATCGCACCCAGACCTTCGCTTCCCCACTATCTTATTTTTTGGAGGGGGCAGATGTCTCTCAGCGTTCAGGCACCGCCGCTCGAAGTGCTCTTTCGAAAGCACGCACGGCCACGACTCAATGCCCAAAATTCAAGGGTGTTGTACCCTTTCTACCTTTTCTATGGGCCGCTTTTCCAGGATTGACCTGATTCAGTACGTAATTTAGCAATTGACCCTGACTATAAAAATATATTTTTTGAAATACACTTACAAAGTCAGGCATTCTCGAGAATTCCCTTGTTTCGTCAGGGTACTTTTTGAAATGCATTGAAACAGACTTTCTTCGTGTCGTTTCGGTATAACAGGGCTGATCTGGCCACTAGCCCGAGATGGTTACAAAACCGGCCCCACCAGTCACTGTCGCGCTGTCAGCTCGACAAAACAGACCACACCACAAAAGTTGTGATTCACTGCCTCGACAGCATTTACATCCAGCATGGCAATTCAGCCCACACCACCATGCCACGGGCTGTCCTTGCAGACTGTGGGTGGTGGGGCTTCCTCGGCTTATTGCTTGCATGCGCAGCGCCACACCTTCTGACTGCGCACTGTGAAAGGACCGACCCTTCGATCTAGAGCCTGCTCTTTCATAAACACCTTCTCTTCCAGTCTTCCATCCGCCTCCCAGATCCACTAGCACCGCCTTACCATGCCTGACGAGGAATCAGGAGAAGCACATGCTTCTCTTCGCAATGGGCTTTCTGTGCTCGGGGTTTTCCCCCGCCTGGGCAAAGCCTATGCCACTCCTGTCAACGAACCTCCTCGCCCCAAATCACCAGTCCGTTCAGTCGGCATGGTGTATGCGTGGGGGGCACCGAGCTCCCCGACTGTCTTAGAGCCACACCCGTCCGTGACTCTTGTGCCTGGTGGTGACGAGGGCCCTTCAAACTGCGGCGAGAGCACTCCGTCAACGGTCAATAGCGCTCCTGCCAAGTGTCCTCGCACCGGTGGTGTGAAATACACACAGCAGCTTCTGTGGGGTGCAAAGCCCCCACGCAAACCACCAAGTCCTCCTCGTGCCGCATCGCCAGTGGAGGCTGAGGAGTTACCCACATCGGATGCTGACGCTGAGTATGCTATTATGAAACATCGTTTTGATTGTGACAGGTCCTCCCGTTTTCCGTGGCTTCGTCTGCATCGCACGAAAGCAGGCCGCCCCTCGTTGAAGTGCAACATCTGCATGCTGCATGGCGATCCCGCTGCCAACACGACGTACGGCGTCAAGGGCGAGGGTGGCCGCCATCTTTAGCTTGGCAGCATGCGTGCCCATGTTGCGACTCGGGCGCACAAGGCCACCTTGAAGGTGGAAGCTGAGGCTGAGGCGCGTCGTGAGCGTCAACTGACTCTGACGCATTGGCAAGCCACTGATGCATCAACACGTCACATAATCCGCTGTCTGCACATCGTCATGTTCATCTGTAAGTGGATGCTCCAATCGCCTTCTTTGTTCCTCTCTGCTGGTTCCTGGCCAGAGAGGAACTTCCTGATCTACCGCCCACAGGTGGCTACGGCTCGTGCTATACGGAGTAAGTAAATGCATCTGTTTTTTTTCTAGCATGTTGTATAGCCTGTACAATCGGCAGCTTCTAATACTTCCACATCTGTCCGTCGTGTTTGCAGCTATGGTTTCAAAGAGAAGATCAGATTGATGTCGACTTACCTCCAAGACCTGCAGCCGCAGCACCTGCTGACCTCACCGTGGTTCGGGATTGGCATCGACGAGAGCACGGATCGCATCCACGAGAAGCACCTGATCATCTACGCCACATTCTTCAAGGGAACGGTGGTGGCGACCGAGTTCTTATCTCTTCTCACAGTTGAGCGGACGGACGCTGCTTCGCTCACATCAGTCGTTGTTCAGTTCTTGCAGCGTATTGGCGTGGACCTGCCGAAGATGGTCGGCATCGCCACTAATGGCGCGAGCGTGATGGTCGGGGTTCACAATGGCGAGGTGGCGCGTCTCCGCGCCAAGATTCCTCATCTTGTTTCCACACATTGCATAGCGCATCGGTTCGTTTATATGATGTGCAGTTGTTTTCGACATAACGCTCAGTTTGGTTGTGTTTATGCTTCAATCCATGTTTGAGCCTAATGTGTGGGCAACATGTTCCCTTCCCTCACCGATCCACCCTCTGTCGTGCAGTGAAGCTCTGGCGGAGAAAGATGCTGCGACTGCCGTGAAGGATCTCAACATGGTCGACGACGTCGTGCGCGGTTTTGCCTCCCTTCTTTCCAACAGCAACGTCCAGCACGCGCGTTTCATGAATCTACAGCTCACCTTCTGTCAGACCAACCTTGAATTCCAAGGCATCAACACAGTTCGGTGGTTATCTCGCGGGGAAGCCGTGTCTCGGCTGCTGGAAGTGCTCTCAGCTGCCATTGTGTTGATGAAAGACCAGTCGCCGACGATGTACGAAGTGGCGACGTTGTTCAAGTTTCATTGGCTTCTGCGGCTCCTGGCGGACGTCCTGTTCGAGCTAAATCAGCTCAACCTTCACCTTGCAGAGCAGACGCGGATGCGCCTGACCCAACGCTACCTGCGTGTCCCCGAGGGACACACATTCGGTCATGGCGACAAGATGCACCTGCCTGCCTTCATCCGTGCACATGGGAAGCTGGACTCGGAGAAGCGGAAGATGAAGGAGGAAGGGGTCGATAGAGATGGGACCCCATCGTCTCATGAGTTCGTGCTCCACGAGCGACCTCTGGCCGATCAAGACCCAGACGGTGACGAGTCAGGAGGTGACGCGACAGCAGGTGACGCGACTGCATGCTACGAGCTGTCGACCAAGTTTGTGCGGGAGGTTGTCAAGCAGCTTGAGAAGCGTCTGCGAGATCTGTCTCACCTCGATGGCTCGAAGCTCTTCTTGTCATCGAAGTACCTTCACGACGATGACAAGCGTGTCGCGGCGTTCAAGCGCTGGCTGAAGCAGCTCCATGAGCTCTTCCGTGAGACCCTGCCCGGTTTGTGCTTCGTGGATTCTGTGAAATTTCTTTCTGCGCACACATGATTGTCACACCCTGTTGTAATAGCCTGCACATGGCCTGCGTCACATGATTTGTGGCTACGCTAATCTGCCGCTTTCTACTCCTTTGAGAATCACTTCCCCTATGCCTCAGGCTTCTACTACACGAAGGTTGTCGCTGAGCTCTGGATGTTTACATCGACTATGCATTCCCAGCACCGTGACGAAGACTTCCACCAGGCGCTCAGCAACACTCTGCGCGACGATCAGTGGCAGCGCTCCTACCCCAACATCATGCTCCTGTGGCAAGCAGTCGCTATGCTGCCTCTGAGCACGGTGGAGTTCGAGAGGGGGTTCAGCAAGCCGAACATTATCAAGACGTGGGGCCGGGGGAGCATCTCAGACACATCACCGGGGCACCTTATGCGCTGCTCTCTCCTAAAGTACATCGTGGACTGGTTCGAGGTCGCACGCATCTTCCGTGGCGACAGAAATAGGCGGCAAATCCGAGACTTCACTGGCACCAACCCAAGTGATACTCAGTTTAACCCTGCAGCAGTCCGTGACACAACTGCAAGTGCAGACCACCAGGAGGGACCCGAGAATGAGTGATGCAATGTTTTGTTAGTGGTGGGTTATGTATGGTTGCATGTAGGGGAAGCAATATCGTAGTGGCATTTTGATTTTCTCTAGCAAACAGGGTGGTTTCAGAAATAGCCTTACAAAGACAGGATACTAGCCAAAACACACGGATTCGCACCGGGCAAAAAAAAAATTCACCCTGACCGTCAGGCAAAGGGCTCTTGGGGACCCTGATATGGCAGGGTGCCCCAAAACCAATTTTGGGCCCTGCCACGACTAAGCCTCTCGCTGAGCTCAACCGACATTCCCGCCATGGCCGAATTCAATCTCGCGACGCTGACGCAAGAGCAGCTCGACCGACTCGTGCGCCAACTCGGAGATTCGGCAGTCGAGATCGCGACGCTCACGGCGGAGCGCAACCTCGCCCGATAGCAATCAACGGCGAATGCACCAGCACCAACACCTACACCGACAAATGCACTTGCGCAATCAGAAGAGCCGATTGTCATCTCGTCCGGCACACAGTCACAGCACGACAGCGTGGGACAGTGCTCAGGCGCAGCCATTGATGGTGCTGCCCAATCAATGCATGGCATGGAGAGGAACAGGGCCGCACCTAACACGAGCAGGCCCCACGAAGCTCGCCAGCATGAGGAAATTGCAACAACGATCGGCAATGACGACATCGTCTCACCAATGCCGCTCAAACCGCAGCGCACTCCTTGCTTCGATCCTAGCCAACGTGGAGGTCCGACGGTTCAATTGTGGGTCTTCACAATAAACGTCTTCTTCGACGCGAATTACGTCGAGTCGGACGCAGCGAAGATACGATACGCTGTTTCGCTGCTTCGGGGTCCCGCCATAGACTGGTGGCGAGTCATTGTGACGTTGCCATGCGCCTACGAGCTGTAGTCGCAGGAGGAAGGGCCCATGGGGCCAGCCGGCACCTGGAGTTCATTTTGCAAAACCGCCCAATACAGCATGTGGGATGCATGGTGCACATGGCTTTGGGCGTGCTTCGGTCCAAGACTACACAAGCAGTTTTCTCGCACTATGTGACCAAGTCAGCTACATGCACGAGGCGAAGCGAGTGGATCGTTAGGTCGGAGTGCTGGAGCCGGACATTTTGCACAAAATCATTTCTCCGCGGGCTCTCGAACTTCAACGAGATTCTCGCGCTCGCCGAGAAAATCAATATCTTACGCCGTCCGACACGGGGGTCCTACTACGGACATTGCCCTCAGGGACCGACCGATCACGCCTTTGTACACGCTTTTGCGGCGAGCGAAGTTGCCGCTCAATTTAAGGGGTGCTGATTAGCTTGCATGGCCAGAGGAGCTAAGGCGTCGTAGAGCAGAGCAAGTGAGGGAGTATGGGAGGCAGGGAAACGCCAATAGTCAGTAGAGATCGGGCCAACTGCTGACGCGACTCACTGCTCGCCCAACCCCACTGACCCTCACCGAGTCACTGTACCAAATCAAGCAATCGATCGGGCTCGGCTGAATAAGGAAGGTACGGCGACGGATTGCCCAATACTGATTCGTGGCCTTGCTCAGTGCATACACCACTGTTCCCACCAACAATTCCTAACAATACACCGTTACCACTCTCGACGCTCGCCTCGACTACGGTTTTTGCCTCTGTTCACGAGGCAACCCAACATCACGGTTTGGTTGGTAACTCGCGTTCCAGACCTCCGCCTCGACAATTCCCAACCTCGGCGCTAGGCCCGTAGCGCACCCCATTTTTACGCTTTACCGTTACCATGCTAGTTTCGCTATATATTCTTCCCCCATGCCTTCGGTCGATGGTGCAATTCCCGCTCGCTCAATTGCACTCGTAATAGTATTCCAGCGGTCTTCAACAATTGGCATACAATATCAAGATGTCGTCCTACTCACTCCCTGTCTGTTATTGGAAAAGTCGCAAGAGGAGCGTGCAACTGTTTGCAGGAATGAGAGTGCAATGCAAGGCAAATATGAATGAAATCAAGACATGCAATCAGGAAAACTATTCACAATAGGGTGGCGGTGGCTCATCCTCCTCAAAGCCGCTCATCTCCACAGAGGGGTCAGGTAGGCTCTAAAGAGCATACGCCATGGCCGCCGCACGGCGAGGTGAACGGATGCACCCCAAAAAACGCCTGGCACTCGTTGTCGCGCCTCTATTTCTTTCCATGACATCCCATCGTCTTCAAGGCAAGGGGGGAACAGGGAGGAGCGAGCAAGTGGGGAGTTATGAAGGCGGGGAGTTTAGGCAATTGGGGACAGCCAGGGGTTCCACAAGAGCTGTATGATGGGACTCGGGAAAAGCAGGAGGGACATGCAAGAAAGAAAAATGTGGAGGCAAGGCGTGGGTGGTTGTTGTTACGAATAATAATGAATGAAGAACATTATTGTGCACTCCCGACCACAGATAAGGAAGCATGCAGTATCGAGAATGAATACGAAGAGTCAGAATTGACTCGAAGCGACAGACGGTTGGGGAGCATCTGGACCGTCGGCGCAAACGGCATCGGGCAGCTGCAGGCAGGAGGGTTTTGGCGGGAACAGTTTCATAACTGTACGCGCCGCACGGTTGGGAATGAATTTGAATAAGGGAATGTACCCCTTAGAGTACATGGCTAGCTAGGTCGATTCGAATTCCCCTCTACTCTTATTTATATCATTGTATTTGCATGTTTTAATCAATCTCAAGCATTTTACATTCACTCTGCTATTGAGGTCAAGGGCCCACCAACACTATCTACCTGCGTGCGAACCTTCCTGAGAAGATCCTGGCAGCGATCATCTTTTGATCGCAGCATGGTATGAGAGCGGCTCGGGAATCCTTCGCACTGCCAATCCCGAAAATTACGACATTCAGAAAGTGGCGTCCGGCACACGCTCGCGTGTGAGAATGGCCGGAGGATCTGGTGGTCGGTCTAATCTGACGGCTGAAGCGCAAACCAACCCGGCTGCGACAAGCGAGGAAACGACGACGATTGGGACCGAAGTCCTCGCACAACTCCTTCAGCGACTCACCAGCTTGGAGCAAGGGCTCCAAACATTGCGGACGGCGACGCGGGAACCTCCTCGTAACCTTCTCAACCAGCCCCAAATGGCCAGAACGCCGCCCCGCACACCTTCTCCCTCGACACAAATGGCTCAACCCCCAAGACTCCCCGTCCCAGTGAAGAGGCAATTCTCTCTGCGCAATCAAGGTTTCTCAGCATATCAAAAATAAAGACAAGTGTGCGTTTTGATGGCAGGGATTTCTATACCTGGAGCTTCGAGCTGGAGCTCTTGCTTCAGAATGCTCTAATCTTTCATTACTTCGACGGGAGTTACGCGGAGCCCGCGGAGGACACCGACGACGCCAGGACACGTTACTACAACGAGTCTTTGATGGCGTACAGCATCCTCCTGCGCAACATGTCGCCGGCGGAGCAGCTGAACATCCGTTCGTACAAGACATCGGCTGCTCCAGCCCTTGATGGTTGGCGCCACCTGAATGGCGTGTATCAGCCGAAGGACTCTGTTTCTTCGAGCCGGTTGCTCCAGCAGCTGCTGGAAACCAAAATGGCCCCAGGGGATAAGGCTAACAGTTACATCAATCGCTGTCGAAGCCTTCGCGATCAAATCGCGAAGTTGGGAAGCTCGATCTCGAAGGAATTTTTTGTCAACATCGTGCTTCAAGGGCTCGGCCCAGAGTGGCGGCCTTGCAAGGCGCTTCTCCGACAGCAGGGGGTCATCTCGGAGGCCGCCCTTTGCGCCGCCCTTCTCGTCGAACAACGGGATATGGATCAGCAGCGACCAGCGCCACGACGAGAACGAGAACGGCTCGCCTTCTACGCCGACAACAACGAAGAGCGACGGCCGCGGCGCCTCTACTGCAAAATTTGCAAAAGCTTCGGGCATTTGGCGGATCGATGCAAGTCTCGATCTCGCCCTTGCCAGACCAATCCGAGAAACTGGTCTGGCCGACAAGACGCACGAGGCGACGTGCGTCCAGCCCAGGGGTATCAACCCCCACCCGCGCGCAACCTGAACCCAGCGGTTCAGCATCAGCATCATCAACCGTCAACGTCTGCCCCAGTACGCAACGTCATGAGCAACATGGCCATGACGGGCGAGTCGCGTCGTCGCCGCGTGCGCTCACCTTCACCTGAGCCAGCACCGACAACGACAACCCATTCAGTCCGCGCCATGACTTCACCGACGACGACGACCAGGACTGGAATCTTCCAGTCCCGCTGCTCGAAAGTCCCCGGCACATACCTGATATGCGGGTGGCGCCACTTGATTGGCTCTCGCGAGAGCAATTTCTGAAGTTTGACACTCCGCACATCGTCACGCCGCGACTGGCGCTGCTTGCACGTGATGATAACAAGCGCTACAACACCTGGTACCTGGATAGCTGCTGCGGCCAGCATATGGTGGGCTCCGAGCGTTACATATCCAACGCCGTCGCCACCTCCACAG